GGTTAGTTCTCAGGCAGTCCTTTGGACAGTACATAAGCCACCAAATGCATTATGCACCTCCATGATGTTCTGCCCTGAGCCAAAATCGGGCATGTTATGTAGTAGGATGCCTATGAAGGATAGGTGTCTGCTGACACCGTCCAGCCATCATGTTTTAGATCTTTGGGGAGGGGGGTCCTTTTTCTTCCTGCTTTCACTGGGTCAAAGTTGAAGATGATTCTCGCAGGGAAGTTGGTAGGCATTCGGAGAAGTTGACCATACCGCCTTAGTGAGAGTTGGGCGACTGTTTGAGAGAGTGGGACCTGTCTAGTTAGGAAGCAAGTCACTTCACTTGACTTGAATTTGATGTTTCAATCATTCAGAGATGCTTCATCTGAATAGTGTCCAACTTCTTTTCACACTTGACAGTAAGGAGCCATGTTTCAGTCCCATAGGTCAGAATACTGACCACCAAAGCATTATATATCCTCATCTTCATCTCTCTACTTATCAGGGTGCTCCGTTTGTGAAAGACATTCTTGATAGGGCGTCCTATTGCTGACTATGCTTTTTTCATTCTGTGCTTCAAGTTCTTTCTTGATGCTGCCCGTGTTATTGATAACAGAGCCGAGGTAGGTCAAATCACAGATAATCTCAGCTGGTTGATCACCCACTAAATTGCAAGAGCCTGCAGCTCATTTGAAATTGCCTAATGGAAAAAAATTGGTTTTACTGAAATTAATTTTCAGGCTGACTTTTGCCAGTAAGCTTCCCAGGGTTTAGGTTCAACAACTAACAACATGTTATCAGCAAAATCAGTGTCAATGAGGTTATCATCATCATGCGGTATACCTAAAATGCATTTATTTAGTGTCCGTTCAAGCACATAGTCTATGACAGCATGGAAGCGTTCTGGGGCAGCAACACATCCTTGTTGAATGCCCAACCTAATTTGGAAGAAGACAATCCTTTCCCATTTACAAGAAAGCAGCTTGAGGAGTCATCTTATATAAAAGAGACAGAAAATTCTTCAGAGCTTGTCAGGAATGGCTCTGAGTTTCAGCCAAAGAGATTCCCTGTTAACAGAGTCAAAGGCAGCCTTGATATCCATGAATACAATTTGAAGGGCCTGCTTGAGTTCTCTTGCCTTCTTGCTAAGCTATGGACTGTGACGATTTGCTCCACGGCGGAATAGCCGGAATTGAAGCCAGCTTCTTATGGTCTTCTCTTGCTTCTTAAGATATCAGTGGCTTGGGCCAACAAAGCAGAAGCAAAAAAACTTTCCCTGGTATGGACAGAAGAGTAATGCCACAATAGTTACAAGAGTCTCGTTTGCTGCCTTTACATTTCCAAAGTAATAAAAATTCTTTTTTGCCAGTGGGACAGGACCGACTCTCCAGATGATGCTGAACAGCATCGCGTTCACACAAAAAATAGCCGGTCCAGCACTTTTTAAGAGTTTTGCAAGAATTCCACAGATTCCAGGTGCCTTATTTCCCTTAGCTTTCTTTACATCTCTGTGGATGTCATCAATAGTGAATTTGCCAGGATGATTTTGTGCGGAATGAGTCAACTCAGCAGTGGCCTTAATGTCAGGGTCCAAAGAAATTGGGGGTGCATTTCACAGCTGGCTGAAATGTTCACTCCAGCATGCCATTTACTCTGCTTCTGTATCAATTAGCTGACCTGAAATGGGAGTAGGTCATTCACTTGGTACGGTCTTTCTTGTCAGTGAGGTCACAAAAATGTTTATAAAAGGAGGCAAAATCATTCCTGGCAGACGCTTTCTCAAGTGCAATGGCTCTGGCTTCCATAAAAGCTTTGCAGTCACCATGTATTGCTTTGTTACGAATCTCATCTAGCTTACAATACATGACCGTATAACCTATCAAATGAGCCATATGCAACTGTTCCGTGATGGCTAAAGTATTAAAGGAGATCCAGTCCACCCAGGTGGTTTCAGCATCAGTATACTCTGGTAGGGTCTCAAACCTATTCAAGATTTCAACTGTTTAGTAGTTTTGAAAACCATCAGTTTCGAAGTTGGGAAATTCAAATTTTGGTGATCCGCTCGTCACTTTGCCTGCACTTTTTAGTCTAAGATGGAAATGTGCAGAGAATATTTTGTGGTTGGTGTTACTAAGCTTGGCAGACCAATAAATTCTACAATTGCTGATGGATGATCTTCAACAACAACAGATTACATTGTAATCAATCATTTTCTTTGTTTGGACTTTGTTACTTGACCAAGTAAACTGGTGAATTCCTTTCCTAAGAAACCAGGTGTTCATAATGACAAACTCATTAGAAACACACAACTGTAAAAGACATTCGCCGTTGATGTTTAAGGTATCTGGAGTAACTGGTACAGTAACAATTTCCATGTTCCACTAGAACTTTAAAGTCACCAAGGAGAGTGAAGATGTCATAATTCGAGATAGGTGAAAGAAGAAAGCAGAATTAATTATAGAACTCTGTCTTGCCTTCATCAGAAGCTTCACTAGTTGGAGTGTAGCAGAGAATTGTCCATCTTCCATGCTTATGCTGGACCTCAGCTGTAAGCAGGCAACTGGAAATTGGTTCAAATAATCAGATTGATTTCATAGATTCCAAGGCCAGAAAGGACCATTGTGATCATCTAGTCTGACGTCCTGTATAATACAGGCCATAGAACTTCCCCAAAATAATTCTTAGAGCATATCCTTTAGAAAAGCATCCTCTCGAGTTAAAAATTGTCAGTGAAGACTCTACCATGACCCTTGGTAATGGTTAATTACACTCACTGTTATAAATTTACACCTAATATCCAGTCTGAATTTGTCTAGCTTCAACTTCCAGCCATTCAAATGGGTTATACCATTCTCTGCTAGATGAGTGGTTTTCGTGGGTCGTGACCGAGTGCTGGGTCGTGGAATGTAAGGCACTGGGTCACAGTGGTTCTGGTCAGCACCGCTGACTGGGCCATTAGAAGTCGCTATTTGTTCCAACACCACGCTGCACCCCGGAAGCGGCCAGCAGCAGGTCCGGCTCCTAGGCCGGGGGGCCACGGGGCTCCACGCGCTACCCCCGCCCCAAGCACTGGCTCTGCACTCCCATTGACTGGCTCGCCATTGACCGGGAGCTGTCCAAGGTAAGCTCGCGCCCCAATTTCCTGCCCCATCCCTGAGCCCCCCCCAAACCCAGGGCCCCTTCCTGCACCCAAACCCCTCATCCCTGGCCCCGGCCCAGAGCCTGCACCCCTAGCCCAGAGCCCTGACCCACTCCCATATCCCAACCCCCTGCCCCATCCCAGAGCCCCCTCCCACACCCTGAACCCCTCATTCCCAGCTGCAGCCCTCACCCCCACACCTCAACCCTCTGTCCCAGCTCTGAGCCCCTCCCACATCCCAAACCCTTCATCCCCAGCTCCGTTGGGTTGCGGACATCAACAATTTTCTTCAACTGGGTCGCCAGAAAAAAAAAAGTTTGAAAACCACTGTGCTAGACTGAAGAGCCCTTTATCAAATATTTATTCCTCATATAGACACCTACAGACTGTAATCAAGTCACCCTTTACACTTCTCTTTGTTAAGCTAAATAGACTCAAAGAGCTCAATCTATCACTATAAAGCATATTTTCTAATCCTTTAATCATTCTCGTAGCTCTTTTATGAATCCTCTCCAGTTTATCAACATCCTTCTTGAATTGTGAGCATCAGAACTGGACACAGTATTCCAGCAGTGGTTGCATCAGTGTCAAAAATAAAGGAAAAATAACCTTGTTACTCCTGCTTGAGAGTCTCCCGTTTATGCATCCCTGAATCGCATTAGCTCTTTTGGCCACAGTGTCACACTGGGAATTCATGTTCAGCTGATTATCCACTATGACCCCCAAAACCTTTTCAGGGTCACTACTTCCCAGGATAAAGTTCCCCATCCAGGAAATATGGCCTACATTCTTTGTTTCCAGATGTATACATTTACATTTAGCAGTATTAAAACTCATATTGCTTGCTTGCATCCAGTTTACTGAGCGATCTAGATCACTCTGAATCAGTGACCTGTCCTCTTCATTATTTACCACTTCCCCAATTTTTGTGTCATCTGCAAACTTTATTAGTGATGGTTTTATGTTTTTTTCCCCAGGTTACTGATAAAGATGTTAAACAGTGTACAGCCAAGAACCCTGTGGGATCCCACTGGACACAGATCCACCCAATGAAAATTCCCAGTTACAGTTACATTTTAAGACCTATTAGTTAGCCAGTTTTTAATCCTATTAATGTGTGACATGTTATTTATATTGTTCTAATTTTGTTATCAAAATGTTGTGATACCAAGTCAAACGCCTTACAGAAGTCGAAGTATATTATGTCAACACTGTTACCTTTATCAATCAAATTTATAATCTCATAAAAAAACCCATCAAGTTAAGATCTATTTTTCCATACACCCATGTTGATTTGTATTAATTACATTACCCTCTTTTAGTTCTTTATTAATTGAGTGCTGTATCAGCCACTCCATTATCTTGCATGAGATCAAGGTCAGGCTGACAGACCTATAATTACCTGGGTCATCCCCATTTACCCTTTTGGAAAATTGGCATGACATTAGCTTTCCCCCCAAGTCTTCTGGAACTTCCCCAGTGCTCCAAGACTTATTGAAAAATCAACATTAATGGCCCAGCAAAATCCACTTGGCCAAATCCTCAGATTTGTGAACATGATATTTAAGAGGCATCCAACTTCTTCCTTTCTTGTATCCCAAGCAGCTGATCACAAAAGATAGCAGTTGCTTATTCTTTCCTCACTGCAATAAGGAACAAAGGTGGGTGGGTTTTTTGGAATGCTCTAATTTCTACAGGGGTTAATGCATTATCTTCAAATGCTGTCAGCATAAAACACTTATGTCCAGCATTATGATGATCAAACATGTCCATAAACCCAGCATCGTGCACAATGACCCTAAACCTCTCCAGATCACTGTCTCTCACTGTGGCTGAAATGTTTCAGGCACCTATCGTTTTGCAAACAACTTACCTTGAAAGATTCAGGCGCTTGCTTTGTGGCTCCCCCTGTACATCCTCCAGCTGGGCACTCGTTCTGACAGCCCTGCAAGAAATAAAAAGCAGGAGATACCAAATTAAATGCACGTTGCAAAGAGGCAAATACCTAGTCAATTAATACTTTGCATGACAAAAATCAAATCAGGCTTCATCATCACTTGATCAGAATAAGAATATTAGGCACTGTATTTTCCACCATCCTCCTGTTTTGTTTTTTGTTTTTCTTTCAATTGAGTGATTTAATACAACTGCATTTCTGGGCTTTAGCAAGACTGGTTAAATCCCACATTAGCCTTATATGTCTCAGGGTCACAATCCGAGAACAAAAGTGCAATTGTTTCACTTAAAGCTGAATAAATACTCTGGGATTTTACACAATTATATCAGGTCACTGAATCCCCTTTAGAGGCAGACACCTCAGCCTTGTGGTTTCCTCTGTGCCTTTATTCAGTGAAAATGACTTGACAGGGGAAGGGACGGGAGAGAGGGAGGAAACATTTACTCCAAACCATACTTCCTTAATTGAATGAGATAAGCGGTAATGAATGAACATCCACAAAAACAAAATTAGTCATGAATCTATACCATATTTCTCTTATAGCCATTGTGTGTCTTTTAAGTGCTCCACAAACGAGTGGGATTATATTAGCCAGCAATTGAAGGAAAGGGGAGGGATAGGGCAAATCAGAAGAGTAAGCCGACAGGTGCATGACCCACGAAAGCAAATCATCTAGCAGAAGCATCCCATGTCCTCAAAGCAGCTTCCATGTTGCTTTCTTAGCATCCTCTCCCTGCCAGTTCTACAGCATTCTGGTCGCAGACATGAAACACACATTACACACAGCGGCACCTGGGTAAAGAGCAGCGAGGAATCTGACATGTCTTTCTGGCTTTGATCATTGGAGCTAATCAGGACTTTCCAAGACAGTGCTGGAAGGATTAAGGGATGCAGGAAGGCTTTGCGGGCAGGGATCACAGGGATGGAATATTTGGGGGATGGGCACTCGGAAGGCTACAGTGCTGAATACAGGAGGATGGATGAGGGAATATCAGTAGAATGCACAGGAGGATGGACGGGAGGGAACGGGCATTAAGAGGCTTCAGTGCTAGAATGGATGTGGTATGGGGAGGAGGAGGTTAAATTATAGAACAATTAGGTGAAAAGGATTTTGTGCTAGGATCATCTGGGGGAGGGGGATAGCAATGCTGGAATGTTTAAGGGCCAGGAGGAGGGGAAGTTAAGTTCTCTCCCTTAGATTAGATGCTTTCTCCCTGTTTCTCTCGTCCCCAAAAATAAATTAAGAAAGCCATGCAAAGTGGGAAATACCTGGCAAGAGAAGGCATCGGCTGCTCCCTGCTCAGCTGTCAATGAGCTTGCCATGCTGCCGGGTGAGCATGTACAGTGCACCTCTTGCTTACTGAGGCACTCTCTACTCCCCAGCTGAGGATCAGAAGCAGCAGTACAGCTACTACCACAGCTGAAAACCAAGCCCCTAATCATGCCAATGCACTGCATGTAACTACATGACGTAAGATTTAAACTGTAGCACTGTGTTGTCTGAGAGGCCAGCTCAGTGCCTGGGGGGCAATGGGTTACTAGTATATGTTGGTAAAATATAAACTAGCCCCACAATATTCTCTCATTAAAATATCCACATACTCCCATATAACTCTCTGCTCAGAAGATGACAATGATATACCTGTAGCTATTCATCCCAGTCATTAAACCAAGAGACAAGTACCATTCTGTCTGGAGTTATGGCAATTTGCATAAATAAGACATTAAGGAGGGAGGGAATGACGTAGGAAAATTTAAGCCCCTTGTAGAAACTAGGTGCAAGCAAAATCCTTCATCATCAGATTGAAAGAGCCTTAAAATTAATCCCCACTTGTGAGAGAGTCTCTGCCCCAGATTTGTGAGACTTGGCAGAGCTGTTTATAACCTGTAGACCATGCTTTGTGACACAAGAGCCACAGTTGTGACAGGACATTCATTTCCGTCATAAGTCTGGTTCTGGGCAGTGTGTAACTCAGAACCAAATTTGCTCTGAGCTGAACATGTAGAGCCCAATCCTGCTCCCTTGTAGCTATGGGAGTTTTGCCACTGCCATCAACAGCAGGATAAGGTATGGTCTAGCCATTATAATTTATACAGACACAGGAGAGGGAACCAGGTGAAGGACTAGGTTAATCGTTTCAATGTGGCTTAATATGCCAGGTTCTTCAGCCAAAGAGTATTGAACTCGAAGAGCAACGCAGTGTGCGTCATTGAAGCACAGAAGTTGTAGGAGAGTTTAGTTAGTTGAGAGACTAATACAATGTTCTTTCACTTTTGCAGCCCTGTGGTTTGTTTATGGGTTAGAATAGATCACAAATGAATAGGAATGTGGTGGTCTCCAAGTAACCCTTAATGGATGAGAGTCTGCAACAAAACCATCCCCACAGGGTTCAGGAAGCTTGCACCTCCATCTGTCCCAGTAACCACATACAATCCCTTGCCCCTTATGCTCATCCTCTTGCTTGTCCTCATCCTTAACCTCAACTCTCTCCTCTGCTTCCTTCCCCTCTGTCACATCACAGCTCTGCCGTGGAATTATGGGTCACACACTCATTTAAGATCAGTTAGAGGAGGAATGCAGATACTTTACAAGGAAGAACCCACAATGGGAGAAAAATGGCACATCACCAACACCACTACTAGCTCTTCCTCTGCCTGCACCTGCGCTGGCCCTGGCCAGACAGGCAATCTGACCTGGGGGCTTCTACCGAGGTCCAAGTCTTGACTTCCTGGGAACGCAGCCTGCATGTCCCTGAAGAAAATGAGGCAGGGAGAACCACCTCATGTGAGAGGTCTGTTGCTTGTGTCCCTGAGGAAGCAGGTAAGAGAGCTGCAGGAGGACATGGCTCATCTGCATAGCATCTGGGACCACGAGGACTTCATCGACAAGATGTACATGGAGTCATCCAGGCCAACTACAGAAGCACCAGAGAAGAAAGGAGAACCGACTGCTGTGCAAGAAGGAGATTGCTGCACAAGGTGGCCATGCAGCCAGACAGTGCTTCACCCCCCACCCCACTCCAGATCCCCTGTTCATTGCAGTCAAGAACCACTATGCTGTACTGGCAACAAGAGGAGAGAAGCAGACCCCAATGACTGAGGAGGAGCCACCTGCCCCCACATCTGAGAGGCTCATGGCCACTGCACCCAAGAGGAGGAGCCATAGGGTTCTGGTGGTCGGGGCCTCCCTTCTGAGGAGGGACAGAGGCATCCATCTGCTGACCTGAAATCCTGGGAGGTGTACTGCCTGCCTGCAGTCTGCATCCAAGACATCACAGAACAGTTGCTGAGGCTCATCCATCCCTCTGACCACTACCTCATGCTGCTCCTCCACATGGGCTCTACCGATAATGCCAAGTATGACATCTACCCCTGAGCAGATCAGACCACCAAATCAGGAGGAGATGGTGGAGGAAGCATTTCTACAACAAACAACAGAAATATCCAAAACACAAGACCTGGTAACAATGGGGAACTTTAACTACCCAGACACAGCAAAACACAAAACGTCCAACAAGTTCTTGGAATATATTAGGGACAACTTTCTGTTTCAGAAGATGGAGGAAGTAACCAGGCACACAGACATGTGAGACTTAATCCTGACTAATAGGGAGGAATTGGTTGTGAGCCTGAAAGCTGAAGGCAACTTGGGTGAAAGTGATCATGAAATAATAAAAACAAACAAACAAACAAACAAACAAACAAACAAACAACACACACAACAGCCAGGAGTCCTCGTTGTTTTTGCTGATACAGACTAACAAGGTTACCACTCTGAAACCTGTCATGAAATTATAGATATTGTTATTCTAAGGAAAGGAAAGAGTGAGAGCAGCAAGATAAGGACAATGGACTTCAAGAAAGCAGACTTTTCCTGAGAAGAAAATATAAGGGGAAAAAGTAGTTTAGGAGTGCTGGCAACTTCTCAAAGGGACAATATTAGAGGCAAACAGCAAACTATTCTAATATGAAGAAAAGATAGTAAGAGTATATGCCTCTACCAGGAGCTCTTCATTGACCTGAAAATCAAAAAGGAAATTTACAAAAAAAATTGAAAATATGGACAAATTGCTAAGCAGGAGTACAACAGAACAGCACATGGGGCAAAAATCAGAAAGAAGGAAAGGGAAGATTTACTTAGTGGGGAAGGAGAGCTAATTGATGACATCAAGAAGGCTGATGTGTTTAATGCCTATTTTGCTTCAGTCTTCACTAAAAAGGTTAATTGTGACCAGATACTTAACAATTAATATTAACAACGAGCAGGAAGGAATGCAAGCCAAAATAGCGAAAGAACAGATTAAAGAATATTTAGGTAAATTAGACGTATTCAAGTCAGCAGGGCCTGATGAAATCCATCCTAAGGTACTTAAGGAATTAGCTGTAGCAATTTTGGAACCATTCGTGATTATTTTCACGAACTCCTGGAGGACAGGGCAAACATAGAACCTGTCTCTAAGAAAGTGAATGAAGAGGGCCCAAGGAATTATAGACTAGTCAACCTAACTTCAATTCTTGGAAAGATACTGGAACAAATTATTAAACAATCAATTTGTAAGTGCCTAGTCGATGACAGGGTTATAAGGAATAGCCAACATGGATTTGTCAAGAACAAATCATGCCAAACCAACCTATTTCCTTCTTTAACAGGATTACTGGCTTAGTGAATGGGGGGAGCAATAGATGCGCTATATCTTGATTTTAGTAGGGCTTCTGTTACAGTTCCACATGATATGCTCATAAGCAAACTAGGGAAATTTGGTCTAGAGGAAATTACCATAAGTAGGTGCAAAAATAGTTGAAAGATCATACTCAAAGAGTTGTCATCAATGGTTCACTGTCAAACACGGAGGACATATCTAGTGGAGTCCCACAGGGTCATTCCTGGGTCCTGTACTATTCAATATTTTCATTAGTGACGCGGATAGTGGAGTGTAGAGCATGCTTAAAAAATCTGCAGAGGACCCCAAGCTGAGAGGGGTTACAAG